AAATCATAGAGCGGTGGTTTCTGAATGGCTCAAAGCCCTGTCAACTCCGCTGTATAAACTAAATAATAGCTCAAAAATACTTTTCAAAGGTGAGTCCTTATACTACGTCGCAGGCGTAAGTATTACCCCTCGAGGGTAGGGAAAACAGGGGGTTTAAAGTGGAAACTAAACTTTTAAGGCACCCTCGAGGGGTAATACTTAGGCCTGTACCGTGGTACTACGTACGTAAGTTGATTGGTTTAAGCCCTGGTAAGATCCCTTGCGAAATTATACTTTCGACATTTATTCATGGGGGGAGAGTAGCAATACTTCAACTTTATTAACACTAGGGCCAGATTAAGTAGCCATAATAAAGGAAAAATGACTTTGCATACTACTACTAATTCTTTATCTAGCCTTGGCGGCGTCGGCGCAACCGAACCCATTTACTATTACGTAGTACTACGTAGTATATCGACCATAAGCTCCGGCTATATCGGCCGTACAGCTAATCTAATAATGTAATCCCTACCCCGAGAGGTGGCTGCGCTACAAGTACGGAGCCAAATGGTTCGGCCAAGGCTTCACCATACAAATTACGGAGTAAAGGGGGATAGGTGAGCTATTTTTAGACCATGCAAGTCAGCAGAATTCTAAAAAAAAAAATCATTCCTAGCTCCGAAGTATTAATTGTCGGTTTAGCTTCTACCTACTTGCCTTACATCATCGTCAAACCTTTTAATAGAGGGCTAGTAATAGGTAGGTAAGTAGTATAAAAGGAGGCGAAACCGGGTAAAGGGGCAGTGTAACTAAAGCCGAAACCGACGATCAATGAGAATAGAAGAAAAGGGTTGATAGAAGCGCGATTTCTGTCCGACTGATTGTATCAAGTGATATCGCTCGAAGCTAAGCAGCTTAGCAAGCTTATGCGCAAGCACGTACTAGTAAAGGCACGATAAACTATACTAGTAGTAGCACGGTGCAGGCCTAGGTGTTACAGCCTGAGGATGCCTTAAAAGTCTAAATCTCCACTTTAAACCTCCTGGTTGCCCTACCCTCAGGGTGTAACACTGACGCCTGTGACGTTGTACGTAG